AAAAAGAAAATTAACTTGGATAAAATTAAAATATGTTATAAGCATGTGTAGTTTAATTACGATACATTTTGTTTGTACACACCTGTAACTTCCGAATATGCAGTTGCAGTGTTAGATTTTAGCGAATCTCCAACATTGTTATTTTCTTTTTCCGAATATGCAGTTGCAGTACATTGTTCACCAACATCTAAATCCAAAAAAAAATACTGCAGTAGTATTGCATGCACATAGATCACTGAAAAATATTTTTATAGCAATGATCAATATATTTTAACACAATGATAATGACGATTGTATTATTTTTACCTTCTGTGAAATCAATGAAACGCGATATAGAAGAGAGATCACTGATTCTCTGTCTTTTATGCATTTGTAATCTTGTCGAAGTTGTTGCTTCATTGCTCTCTGTTGTCCTTAAAATACTAATTGAGGATTGCAATTTGTGCGTTGCTAACACTGTGTTTTAAAAAATTAAACAATAAGATGTTATGAAAAAGTGTTATATTATTTATGTTATTTATATGATTCAATATATGCCTTGCGTAGTCATATATATAATGCAAAAAAATATATAGATACCATTTGTTACATCCCCCAAGGAATTAATTTGTGATGTTGCTCTAGATTCTGACATTGAAGACAATCTCTCAACTCCCGCAATAGAAATTACAAAGGCTAAAACCCAAAAAAGAATATTTATACACATAATATTGTGTGATATATATGTTTAAAAAATCGATTGAAGATTAAAAAAACATATGGTAAATAAACCTTTTTGCATTTTTCTTTGTTGAAGTATATCTTTTCACCGTGCTCTTGCTTCTTTCGCCAAAACCCATTTATCTTTTCTTTGGTCCTGCGTGACTGCTGTCCAAATTTGTACACAATCAAATTCATTTCAATATGTCGAGGTATTAAATTTAGAAATTATCTAAAATCATGACAAATATTTAAAAATTTAAACAATCGGATAGATTGGGTTACTTCAAGATAACACATAAAAACAAAAGACGCTTTTTAGTATTATACTCATGGTAATTGTTTTCTTATACATTTTATTTGCAGATGCCTTTTTATTTTGCTTCTCAAGCGATGGGAAACCAAATTGATAAATCTACTACATCTATTTTAGAAGATGAATATTGCCCATAATATCTATAATGAAATAATAAAATATAGTATTATGAATTAATAGAGACTAATAAAATTATTGGAGGAATTTATCTCAATATAGTAATAAGGATAGATTGACAATTATAGATATTACCTTCGTTGAAATTAATGGCACGTGAAATAGAGGACAGATCAATGTTTCTCTGTCTCTTTTGGGCTTGAAGTTGCGCCGACGATGTTACATCATTGTAGTTTTTGGTACTTGAACAACTTCGAGCCGATGAATGTACTTGATGTGATGCTAACACTGAATTTCAAAATTATAAGATATGACTTGATAACTACATGATATTTTACATTCTAGCCGTATTTGTTTTGTATCGAAACTGAAAAATGTTTTCATTTAATCATAAACCATTATTAATACCATTTGTCAAATCCAATAAGGGGTTTCGTTCTGTCGTCGGCGTAGATTGTGACATTGTTATGTGTGACGACGATGCCACTTCCCCTGCAATTAAAATTCAAAATAATTGTAAGTTGACGTTTTAAAATTTTTAGTTAACATAAATTAAACACTATAGGTATTTAAAATCCTATAATATCTATAATAACTTCTGCTTAAAAACACCTTTATCTTCTATTTGGCGTTGACGTATATCTTTCCGTCGTGCTCTTGCATCTTTTGCCAAAACACAGTTCTCATCTTGACGTCCTTGCATGACTACAAATGAAGTTTTGGTTAGAAAAAGAGTGTGAATTATTACATGCAAGTATTATCAGCCATACCGTTTTATTTTCTATAAGTTGATCCCATATATTGAAATTACCGAAGACTAAGAAATCATCTAGGAAATATCAAAGGATTATTAGTTAATAAGAGGAAGAATTATAACTATCAAGCTCGGTGTTTGAGGTATATAATTTTATTGTTTATAAGCTATGCAATATTCTTTTATATAAGTTTCCTGTTCTTTTGCTACCAAAGAATTTGTGAAATCAGTATTTTCAATATCAACATTCTTTCTCCATTTGTAGAATAAAACGTAGGTTAAAATATGATTACAATCCACCGACATAAAACGTATTTTACCAAGAATGATCACTCTTCAAAAGATTACAATCCACCATCAAACACCTCTTATGAATCAAGAGTTGAACACTTTCACATATTGGAATGTACTACCCAATTCAAACTAACATTCACTAATTTATTATGAATTGCCAGATTAAATTACAAATAAAAAATATTAAATGAATACAGGGACATAATCTTAGTTTCTAAAAAAATGCAGAGGAGGATTGTAATCTTAGTTTCTAAAAAAATCTTAGTTTATGCATCTCTTGTACAACTTTCGCAATCTATCATTTGAATCAAACCGGAGATCTTAATCATGTATTTTTGAGTGCAAGAAAGTTCAAAATAGTCCTAGATAGCATGTTTTCATTAAGAAGTAAAATAAATTGAAATTCAAGCAGTGTAAAAAACAAACCTGTGTTATTGTCAGTGTCTTAGTGTCGGCAAAATTCCGTCCTTGCTTCCGTGACTACATTCAAAGAAGTAGAGCAGTATTGTTAATTAAAACCTAGAGGAGAAAAAAATCTAGAAGTCTAATAATATGAATCTTAACAATTGGAGACTTTCCCTTTGAGAATTAGTCGTTGTAGAAGAATAGACCCAAGAAATTGATTGATTTCGGCGAAGGATCCCTGGAGAAAAAGGATATGGCGAAGAAGAGAAAACCCTTTTCGCAGTGCGTCGAATACAGGGCCGTGCGCAGATGATTCCTATTTAGGTGTCATAATAGCCAAATTTTGTTATTACTTTATATAATTAATGTAATGGAAATACTTTTGTATCAATATGTACTACCATTTTTTTTTTTAAATTTGGGGTCAAATTTTAACAATTTTGACTGTAAAAATTCTAAATCAGAGAAATCTTCTTACACAGAGAGAGTAAAAATTCTGAACTTTTATAAAATATATATTATACTTCCTCCGTTCATGAGTTTTCAAATTGCAATTTTGACTTTTATCAGTCATAATTGGTACTCTTTACCTCAAATTAAAAAATATATAGTAGATATTGTTACAATAATTGTTTTATTTGATTTATTACATCAAATATTTTCAAAATATTACTTATCTTATTAATATACAATATATATTTTAATTAAGTATAGGTGAAACGTTGAAAACTACCGACCGAAAAGAGTCAAAACTGGTTAAAAGTCAAAATTAGAGAAATATTTATAGACGGAGAGACTAAAAATTTGAGTTCTTATGAAATTTACATCATACTCCTTCCGTTCATGAGTTTTTCCTAATTAATATTTGACTTTTTCCAGACATAATTGGTTAAATTTGAAACACCATTAAAAAAATGATGTCTGATATTGTTCCGTAAATGGTTTTATTAGATCTATTATATCAAATATTTTTAAAATAATATTTATCTCATTAATATACATTATATTTTTATGTAATTATTGGCAATGGTTAAAGATGGTTGACTGAAAAAAGTCAAAACTGGATAAAACCCAAAATTAGAGAAATATTCCTAGAAGGAGAGAGTATAAGTTTGAATTCTTATGAAATTCAAATTATACTCCCTCCGTTCATGAGTTTTTCCTAAATCACATTTGTCTTTTTAGGACATAATTGGTACATAAATGGTTTTATTGGGTTTATTACATCAAATTTTATAAATGTTATATGTTTTCTTATTTTTCCGAAAAATATCATTCATTAATTGTTTACATGTCACATATGAAAAAAATTAGTATTTAGTAATTATTTAGTGTGGGATCTTTTGCGTCAATATGTAATATCAAATTTTATGTAATTTAAGGTCAAACATTATCAGTTTTGACATAAGAAGCCAAAAATGGACAAATACTGAGAGACGGACCGAGTTTTAGGGTCGAAGTCTATTAATCTTTTATGTTTTCTTAATTTTCCCAAGAATATTTTTCATTAATTGTTCACATATCAAAATTCAAAGGAGTTAGTATTCATAATTATTCATTGTGGGGTGCATTGAGATACACAGGCTCGATTATATTCAAAAAAACATTAAAAAAAAGTATCAAGTTTAATCAGTGTGTAACACAAAGTAAAGGTTGGAGGTAGTACTTTTTATGGGCACGCTAAAAAATGAAATAACATTTCTCACATGCTGGTATGATTTTTTTTCTGGTAACATTGAACCTAATGATCGTATTTAGTGGTGAGAATTATTATAATCTAAAACAATCACGTTTCCGAAAGATATTATATCACTCATAATATTTTTCGTAAGATCTCGTAACACGTTGATTATAATTTTTTCTAGATCACAATTACTTACAATGAATACTGGAAGATATTACTCTGTAATTTTAAGCACACTTCGTATAAAATTGTTTTCTTCATTTAGATACATTTACGTCATAAAACCGTATAACACTCATTTGAAATGGTCAATCATAAATAATATATGCAATGGTGTAATAAATCATAATGTCACATTTTATTTAGAGTATTATTTTCGAATTTAGAAATAAAAAGGATAAGTAAAAAAGCCTAGTTTTTAAAACAAACTTTGGATTTCAAGTAAAAAAGCCATGTTTTCAAGGTTTTTACATGTTTAAAAGTTTTGCTCCTAATTGTAATTATTAAACACATTTTTTTAGCTCGTTGAACCAAAACAATCAATATAAGTACCTCCATTAGTAATTTTTTTAAGATAAACAGAAATGAATGATTTATTCAGTATAATAATATAACATTAATGAATAGTATGAACTGTATAACAGGTCAAAGTATAGAATATGAGTGTAATGACATTGAACTGAGTATAAATTATTCAAACATGCAATCTTATTTAAAAAAACAGAATGAATGAAATTTTCAAGTTTTTAATTTCAAACACCAAAGTCATCAAAAATGATAAATTATAAAATGTCTAACATGTAAATGAAATCCCAAAAACTGAATAGTACTCCATCTAACATAATACTTCTAGTCTTAAATTTTCTCAATCTTAACGGTCTTCATCTTCTTGCTCGGTTCATGACCGTCTACATAGTCAGTTTCAACCTCTTCGATTCTTTTGTCAATAGTAGAGTCGGTGATATCATCTCCAAGTCGTTCAAACTGATTATCCTTTGATTGCACAAAATCTTCAATCAAATTCTGTAAGACAAAGAACCAAGAATTTAATGCAAGATACATAACAAATCAGAAATGCATTGAACTAAAATGTGACCTCCAATGATGATGTATTATTGCTTTCGGATGCATGGGAGAACTTTGGTTTTAGGTTGAAACATTTCTATACACTACAAAGCATTAATTGGTGTGTGTCTTTTGCTAAACCGAGCAAATCAGTGGTGATAGTATAAACCTTTTCCTATCAACTTACACATATGCCATGCCAAGAAATTAAAAAATTGAGCAAAAGTTAAATTACTTGTGCATTTTTTTTAGGGTCCTAACCTTTACACATGATGATGCATCGCCCATGGAGAAGGTATGCTGTGATGATTTTTCTCCAGTTGAAAGTCCCAAAGTCACATCAGTCTATTACCAATAAATTACCCATTAAGGATTTTATTTGCATCTTAAAATCTATGTCTTATTAGTAACAGAACAAAATTTTCACTAAGTGATATTTACATTCGATTAATAATGTTCACAAACCTGGACGGAGAAAAATGTTGCATGCCTTTCCTTGAATCGCGAGATTGTTCTTTCATCAAAACAAATGTCAATGACATTATAGGTAGGATCAAAGTCATTGAACTTTTAAAAAGATACGACTTATCTATCAAGAGTCTATTAAAGACATCGGGTTTTATGTCTCCACTCGGCAGATTCTGTATGAACAATTACAATAACCATTAGTAAGTAAAGCAGGCAGCAAGAACCAATGTTATATGTCTCAATATTTTCATTTTGTATTTATAACATATTGCAGGGCAAGTCCAAAATTTAAGGGCAGACAGTTTCAGACAGTACAGAGGAGCATACTGCTGAATTTTTTTTATTTCCATGAATGTCTTTAAACCTGAGAAGAAGCTGTCATTCTAAACCATCATTTTAAATGATTAGGAGGAAAAAGAAAAATCCAGGTGCAGTATTATTCAGGCAGTGCATCTCTCATTGTTGTGTCAGTTTTACATTACCTGATAGGTATTAGTTGTACATGTTTAAACTTTGGTAAATAGATTTCTATTGCTTCCCACCAAGTTGTGTTGTCGTTGTTGTATTTATAAAATGTTTAATTGCAGAGCCCTCACATGTTAGATTTCAAATTACATGGCATTAGAATTCAGACAGTTACAAAAAAATCAAGAGTAGAAGATTTAAGACAATGCGGAGGAGGTATTGAGTATAGTGTATGCTTAAAAAATGCTTAAAGAAGATGTAGGACAGGGAAAAAATCACAGAAGAGTTCACTTTAGATAGGCCACAAATGCCTCTGCTAAACCAAGAGCAGGAGAGGGTTGACAGTTCCAAAAAAAACCAAGAGCAGATGAGGTCAAACCCTGTAACGTGAGTTTGGTCTTTGATGCGAAATCACCTTTTCACAACATATATTAGTCATCCTCATGTTGTCTATACATAAAATCAGAGGGCTCATAACTTGTTCAATTTATAGTATTTGCTTAAGAAAAATTCAGCCTATGACAAATCAAGAAACATAAAGTCAAATGTCATTGTTCTGTCCATCTATTCGAGACCAGTTATGATACAGTGCAAGTTTCTATTCTGCCCATCTTTTCCTTTAAAAAACTACAGGGTCTAAAATAGTTCAATAAATCACGACGATGAATACCTCAACATGTGTCAAAGAATTTAAATCTGGTTTTAAAACAGGTGTAAGATGATCTGTTATAATCACATATTTATCCATACCTCAGAATATTTCAACATCTCCGAACATGATTTATGGAGCAGCAAGCATCCAACGCTTTCAAGTACTACGAAAGTAGCACTGTCCGTGGTGTCAACAACTCTTGTCTTGATTCGATACCTGAATCATAATTGTTTTTCAGGAGTCAATTAATAAAAAATTTTTGACATAAAGCATTAAGTGTTGGAAATTAGTAAAAACCAAACCTTGGGATCAGATTCATAACTCATCTCTTACACTTATTACACTAGTACGATCCACCGCGTGGGACCACTTCGGACCCACACCTACACACTATTATAAACCAATCAGAATCAACATCCTTTGTAACGCCCCAAAAATAGGCCTATCAGAGTTAATTAATTTATAATTAATTAATTACTGAGAAGGACCCAAAAATAAGTAAATTCTAAAGTTTGTCAATAAATAATGAAAATCATATCATTATGTAGAGTTTGACTGTCTCATCCCAACGGTTCAATCGGATTTCAATTTGGAGAAAGTTGGAACAAAAAGTGTACCCTAACTAGGACCAAATATTAGTCCCAATCAGGGACTACACACCAAACGGCGCCCTGTTCAATTACGCCGATTCCAAATCGCCGCACAATCACGGAAGTAACCAAGCCTGTGTCTTCTTCTTCTCCACTGGCCTATTTAAGCACAACTCAACTCCCTCAATTCCTCACCAAAAACATTCATTCTTCCTCCTATATTGTTCCTTGCTAAGAGCTTGATATAAAATGATTTGGCCTTAGATTAAGAATAATTTAAGAGCATGGTTGAGATAAACTTATAGCTTACTGAACCTTATTTTATAACTCTTATAGTACTTACAAACTTAGTATATAACACACGTACTATAGTTTACCAACTAATACTTAACTCTAAGTTAAATAAACCTACAAGCTGCGAAATCTATACGAATGAGTCGAACATCGCTGAGCGTGTAGTATGTTTTATTTGCTACACGCAGGTAGATAGAATGAATGATTGGCTGATTCCTGGCATCAGAAGGGGCGAGACAGTCGTGGTGGATCATTGAACAAAATAAATAATTATGTTGTTATGAGACATGTTTGAAAGTCGCTTCCGCATTATTATTATTAAACACTCCGTATTTTCTATAATTATGTATGGAATATTATTTATAAATAAAAAATGTTTGAAATGTTTTAAATTTTTACGATTACCAAGTTAATACTTTAGTCCGAAAGGGGCTGTAGACCTGGACGGATTAGGGTGTTACATCCTTGATCGTATCGTATACTGCATATTCTCCGTCCTACAGATCAAAACACACTTAAGTCACTACATTACCCGTAAAGTCAGGCGCGTGTGTTTAGTGTAATATACTCATCTAACCTCAATACAATCTTTCAATGTCTCTATTGTTGCAGCCTTAGTAAGTTTAAGAAAGTCCTCATCCACTGAATAAAGTAGCCCATGATTCATTGAGGTATTTTTTATATCATGGGGCGAAACACCTTCTAAATATTGAGTCAGGATTGTTGCATCATGACACACTTTTGATACCCTGAAAGATTGTTCTAGACGTCCTCTGAACATTGACTTGACTTCGACCTTAAATAGGAAACTCTTACCCATCAAAAAATCAGCAAACTCTTTTGGACTTTTAGTACTTCCATCCTTCAATTGGTGTAAAATGAGAGTCATTAACTGTTCAAGGACTAAATAACTGAAATACGTAAAATATATTAAACAAAGTACGCATACACTATCTGTCTTTTCCAGCAAAAGGGAGAATGATGTATTTAAACTCGAAGCGGCTTCATGGTCAAATAACACAAAGATAGCTGAACCGGAATCATCTCTAACAGATAGCTTGATTAGATATCTGAATAAAAATCATATTCAGTACACTATGCAGCAGAAAATAAAAGTGGATGTCGGGAAAGTCAGAGTATGATAAACTTAACCTTGGGGTGACATTCATAACACGACACGCACAATACATGCAATAGTACATGGTACCATCAGCTCTCACAGCCCTATTACACTTGCAAGCCAAATAAAACCAATCCTCAGTATTGTTCACAGAAACAACAGTGGCATACACTATATAGGTACCATCCATGTAGAATAGAAATCATATATTAGCGTATGGGCGAAATCACCACAATAATAAACATTTAACGTTGGAGGATGTTATATTTAAAAACATATCATCAATACCTCACTACCAGCATCCTTCAGCAAAGAGATTGTCGTCATTCGTGTGGCATCTAAAAATTCATTCTGTTGCACGACTGTCATGTCATCACAGGGCAACTCAAGAGGTCGACGGTTCGTTGGCACACCAACAATTCTTAAGCAAATGAGACATTTGTGCATAGTTAGCGAGTGGAAAACACACACATATTTATGGTAGTTGGTAAGAGTTTCAAGGTCTGAATTTTTATACCTTTGTCTGAATGCAACAACCTCTTCTATTTCAGGATTTAACAGGAGACGCGTTCCGTACATGACATTCTGCAAAATTATATTTCCTGCAAATACTCCACACAGGTAGTTTCAAATTAAAAATAACACAAAATATGACGATAAGGTTTCCATAAAATAATCAACATAATGTTTTTAGTATATAAGCATTTGTAGTACCTTGATACGTTTTCACCTTTGCATACTGAATCACAATGATCGCATTTTCCAATGGTTGTTTCCCAAAGAAGCTTTTGATCTTGTCAACGTACTCCCCAAACAGGGTTATATCTAACGTCACCCTAAATACTAAGTAAAAAGAAAAGAATAAATTAATCTTGTATAGATGTTATATTCATATCGTCGTTGCTACAAAGTTATGATAAATTAAAGTACCCATCCGCTTCTAACTGAATCACAATCATCTTTGTCTTTTTGGACTCTTTAACAATTTCTTTTTGCTTGCCCACAGCAGTTAGGACCCCCATACTGTCTGATAAAATATAAAATGTGAGATATAATCTTAAACTTATTGGAATAAATTAAATTTTGTATAAGGGAGTGATTTATTACCAACTAAATACGGGTAGTTCGAGTCTGCCTGCAATATCTCTGAAATAGTAGTCAACTAAAGACCATGCACAGGTATTCTCTCACAGCTAGATGCAGTTACAGTGGTTCTTGGTTGGAAATTCAGCCTGAACTCATGTCGAGAGGTCTGATAATTTCCACTACTAATGCCGATGCCAAAATAGGCAAAGACATACACAGACCCTTCCTTTATTCGCTTCTCAAAATTTCCAACCAAACTTCTCCAGACAGTGGCATGTATCGTAGTTCCCTACATTTGTTTGTTCAAATTAAACATCATCAAAAATCAGCAACAACATATCCTCCTAGGAAACAACAATAAATCTGAATATAATTAAAAAAACAACAACAAAACATCTAAATCATACACTAAGCAAACACAGCAGAAGCAAACTGATGGTAGAGACTGCTTAGTGTCTATATAATAATACACTAAGCATTCATTCTTCTATAAGAGGGCACCAAGTATAGCACACTGCATTTAGCAGAACAACTGGCCAGACTGCATTCTTATGAAAAACATTGTTTGCCATATTTAAAGTGTGAGTGTATTCTATATTATGTCCAAATTTTAAAGGGAAGGTAAACCGAATTTCTACAACCCATCAAATGCAATTTTTAATTACTTTGGCACAAGAAAGCCACAAACAGTAGCCTACATAAGCCATTGTTCTGCTATCATGTCACTCTATGTCAATCGTATATCACTAATTTCTGCTAATTTAATGGTGGTTGATTTTCTTATTTATAATAGTACTTCATGAGTTGATATGCACTGTTATATTTAACATGTTAAGCAACTAAATGATTTTAGTACTTTATATATAGTTGGGAGTTTTTTTAAAAAAAAAAATCTACATTTGATGTTCAAGGAGAACTCTGTATATACAAAGAAGTGAAAGAACAATACAAACTACATGTTTAAGGTTTCAATATTTAAAAAATACAACTCCATTTTCTTCCAGTGCACAATTAGTCAATATCATATACAGAGTACTTCCAATGAATGCAAGTAAATTGTTGATGATATGACATGCTGGGGTCCTATTAGTGAAATATCAAGGTTGGAAAAGTAGCCATACAAAACACAATATAATAAAATCCAACTTCTTCACTGTTTCAATGTTTCAAGATTAAAGGAAGAGAGATGTTGACAGGGTAGCAAGCCATGGTAGAGACATTTACAATTGAAAAATTCATAGTGCATTACAGTAAATAAGAAATAAATATTCGGGTCATCAGAACGTACCTTAATGCCACAATAACAAATACAACCACACTAACAACATGCCACACTAAGAATATGCCACACTAACAACATCCCAATAATGCCACTAACAAAAAAAGCCAAACTGCTTTCATATGCCAGGTTTATAATTCAAAACAAACAAATAGAACCACACTAAAAATATGCCAGTAATACCACACGGAAAAACATATATAGAATAATAGATCTAATATAATGTATAACAAAAAAATGAGAAGGAATATGATGAATCAAGAGAAGGTGACATACATGTTCATCCATGAACACCATTTCAATGGAATTTGTAGTCCTCTCATCATTATAAGCGGGTAAAGTATACAATCGTACGACACGAACCATGATCCTCCAACATTCACTGCTTGGAGTGATCTTCGACAGTGGATGGATGGTCATTGTCACGGATTGAACGAAAAAACAAAAAGGAATATGAATCTCAGAAAATAGGATGCGTAAGACGGGAATTCTGGGTTGTTCTTGAGGAGAATGTATATATAGATAGAATTATAGGAAGAAAGAATACATCTATTAATAGAATATAAATTAGGTATATGATTTCTCAAATCTAATTAGGGTATACGAATATGAATTAAGAACGAATCACGATTTTATTGTTTCAATGAATTGAAGAAAGCATATTGCTATTAATGAACCCTAATTTCGGGTAAAAATTAGGGGAAAATTGGGGTACCGAAGAAGAAAATGGAAAGGCGTAGCGGAGTACCTGTGATTTCTTTCCATCCGTGACCCAAGGCAGCGAAGAATCGTATTTGTTTCCTTTTCAGCGTGAAGATTTCCAGGATTTTTACTTCTTTCTGCGCGAAGAAGTCGGGGAGAAAGAACGGGTACTGGATGGACGAAGGAGAGCTTCGCCAATAATTCGACGCGTGTCATCCGATGTGTCGTCAAAATAAGAGTCCTAACTTGCCACGTGTCAAAATTCTAGGCTATCAACTCTCAAATATTATATTAAAGGATAGGATAGGATAGGATATATAGGATAGGATATAGGATATAGGATATAGGATAGGATAGGATAGGATAGGATATATAGGATATCAACTCTCAAATAATTCGACGCGTGAGTACATATTTTAAAATAAAATGATATGCATGCGAGGAAAAAAATTTGGCATTGATACGGAATGATCAATGTAAATAATTCAAAGTTCAAATATAATTTTTAAATTGGAAAATTTACTTATAGCTAACATGTAATTCATTTATCAAAATGGAAACTAAGCTGTGTTCAGCTGAAATAATATATACTCCATATATATATTCATAGTCAGAAGAATTTACCTAAATAACACTAAAACATAATGACTTTTTCTAAATAGTAACATATGTTTCTTATTTCTCAATGTAGAACTTTTAGTCATTATCCATTAGTCATTATTTAGATAAATGTTCACTATCACATGATATTATTTCTACTTCTAGAAATTATTAAGTGTTATTTAAGGGATAAAAAGTTTAAGTCTTATATTGGGAAATGACTTATGTTTTAGTGCTATTTATGTGTTGATCACGATTGGATAATAGTTGAGTTTTTGAATGAAATCAAATGTTCGGGAATCCCAAAGCACAAAATAGTCTTGAAAAAAGGGGTACCGATTATGCTATTGAGGAACATTGACCAAACATCTGGATTGTGTAGCGGGACAATATTAATCGTTCAAGAGCTGCGAAATAATGTTATCGGTGCAATTGTGGTTTCAGGAAATCGCTTCGGGGAAAAAGTTTACATCCCTAGAATGAATTTGGTATCATCTGATCCAGGGCTACCCTTGAAGTTCCAAAGAAGACAATTCTTGATCGTCTCATGTTTTTCTATGACTATCAACAAAAGTTAAGTCAAACATTGTCATTTGTGGGATTATTTTTAACCAAGTCAGTGTTCAGACATGGTCAACTATATTTTGTTGTTTCACGAGTGAAGACATAGACATGATTAAAAATATTAGTTCTAGATGACAATGGAAACCCTTGCAACAATACCAAATATGTTGTATACCCCGAAGTCTTTCAGAAAATTTGGTATTAAAATAAACATTGTTAACTCTACGTTCTATTCCTCAAATATTATTTATTTTACTTTGACTTTTTTCATTTGTAGTATTCAAAATCATGTGAGTAATATATTTTCTTTATTCCGAAACATATATTTCATTGAAATAATTCAGAATCGACATAAATTTCTTTCGACCCCGTGCATGGCACGGGTCAGATTACTAGTATATAAAACATTTCTTCCTCTTTCTTCTTCTTTCTTTCTCTATAAATCAATGAGTTTTTTTAAAAATTCAACACAAATATATATCTCTCTCTATCTATCATCTTTCTTTAAAAAATTATTATTCAAATATTTTATTTATTTTTATCATGAATCCCTCCGGTTCTTCTTCGGGCGGTCTTGAGCTAAACGAATACGCAATGTGGCTCTTTCGAACATTCGGAAATAATCCATCGTTGTTCAAAACGTAATCGGCCGGCCAATGGTTGAACAACTACGGGTGTTCAACATTAGGGAAGAAGAAAGGGAAAAATGAATGCAACAGAAGGAAGAGATCGAAATAATGGAAACCGACTTTGATACATTGTCGAGCTTTAAACGTATACTTTACTAGAGAAGACAAAAAGAGATCAAGGCAAATGTAATTTGTCTGAGTTTTTTTAAGGAAATATTATCCCAAATAACCCCACCTTTTCGTGCTCTTTCAAAAATAATATCACTTTTCAATATCCCTGGAAATAAGCTCACTTTTTTTGCATGTGTCTGAGTTTTGGGTCATCGTTAAAAAACTAACAGTCACTTAACGGAATTTTTGAAAAATACCTGTTTTTCGTAAATAAATGAAAGGTGGAATTATTTTAGGTAAATTTTCTTTTTTATCACTTTTATAATTTCTAACTTTAAATTTAAATGTATTTGTTTTATCTTTTTTTGGAAAAATAATACCAAATTTAAGTGTTTTTTAGAGTGAAACTAATTGTTTTTTAAACAATCGGTAATATGGTAATAATTAAAAAAATAAAATATTCTACACAATATAGCTAATTTATTAACTTCATAACTTACTACACTTTTTTGTAAGTTGCAATTACAAAACTTGTGAATATTGTGAAAATAACAAAATATTTTTTCTCTGAAATGGACTTTTATTGTTAAAACTCACTACATTTCTGTTGTATTGCAATTTTTTTATAAACAATACTCCAAAATATTTATTGATAATCTTCTATTACCTATATTATTTTTTTGTAATATGGAGCTACCTAAAATTTTGTTTTTTTTTGAAATTTCAATAAAAAAATTTCCCCAAAATAATAATTCAAAAACTGTGAAAATGGTATGATATTTTTTCTTGATCGATACAAATTTTATAGCTCACTACAATTTTTTTGCATTGCAATTTCTTTCTTGATCGATATTCTGAATTATTTTTGATAATTCGATACTATATTTTCCGAGAACAGAAAACAAAATTTGTAAATCGTTAGACATATCTCTAACAAGAGTGTACTGTTATATTTTTCAAAAAATTAATCTTAAATTTAAAATTTAAAAAAGGAAAAAGTAAATTCGCTTAAAATAATCTCAGCTTTCATTTATTTTCGAAATACAGACATTTTCTAAAACTTTTGTTAAGTGACCGTTGATTTTTTAAGGTGACCCAAAACTCACACACATGCGAAAAAGTGGGATTATTTTTGGTGACAGTGAAAAATAGAATTATTTTTGAAAGAGCACGAAAATATTGGAGTATTTGAGATAATACTTTTTGTTAAATGTATTGAATGTAATTTTTTTATTTAATGAAGTGTTGCCATTTAAATTCAATTAAAATGAACTTTTATTTAACTTTTAGAAAATAAAGGTTTGAAGCTCCGGGGCTTCAAACCCATTTCTAGTAAAAGTGTCAGGTAAGTTACACTATGTCTATGATTACCTATGGTGCTTGAATGCATGTTGGGAATCTAGGGGGTAATAACTGTTAGACAATAATACTAATATTACTTCTGGTAGTATTGATTATGGTAGTGTTTCATTATTAGTTAGCTTCCTAATCCTATTTGTAGTAGATGTTGTATTTTAGTTAGTCTCCATTCTCTATTCCTAATTGTGTTAGGAGTCTCTTCTATATATACTCTATCATGTATTTCATAATTCAAGGAAAGCAATATTATTATTCCAATATTTCAACATGGTAACGGAGCCACCGCTCTTGGTGACCTAAAACTCTCTGCGCTCGCTTCTGGTGGGCGGCGCCGCCAATAGCCACCCGCCAGACCGATGTTATTCTTCCTTCAATTTTAAATATTGGCAACTCCTCAAAAACTTTCTCAACTCATCCCCTTTTTTTCTCTCAAATCACTCATTCTAATCATCAATCTTTCTTCTCTTTCTCTTTTGTTACCCAAAAAATTCCAAAAAAAAACAACACAAAAGCAAAGCCAAGAGGGGAAGTAGTGAAAGAGAAAAAAAAATATCTCTACACCCCTTCAAGAAAGAAATAGGGCATTGCCCGGATCCAAGAAAAAAGACAAAGAATGTCAAGGATCTTCAGTCAAACAGGCACCTCCAGTAACCTTCTCTATTCTTCTTCGACGTCAGCAGCTACAAGCGCACGTCAACTTTCTCTCTTCTTCTTCGACGTCAGCAGCTACCAGCCCACGTCAATCTTCTTTCTTCTTCATCGACGTCAGCAGCTACCAGCGCACATCAATTTCTCTCTTTTCCAACGACGTTAGCAGCTACCAGTGCACGTCATACCTCTCTCTTCTCTAACGACGTCAGCAGCCACCGGCGCACGTCAGACTTGTCTCTTCTCCAACGACGTGAGCAGCCACCGGCGCATGTCAGACTTCTCTCTTCTCAAAGTTTCCAGTTTCCAGCTAGTGTCCAAACTTCCTTTTGCTTCAGCCAGAGTTCAGCTTGAGGGGGGATGTTAGACAATAGTACTAATATTACTTCTAGTAGTATTGGTTATGGTAGTGTTTCATTATAGTCATCTTCCTAATCCTATTTGTAGTAGATGTTGTATGTTAGTTAGTTTCCATTCTCTATTACTAGTTGTGTTAGGAATCTCTCCTATATATACTCTATTATGTATTCCATAATTAAAGGAGCAATACTATTATTCCAATATTTCAACATCTATCGGAGCCACCACTCTTGGTGACCTAAAAAAAGTTCTTTGCTCCCACCTCCGCCGCTGGTAATTCCGGCGACGACGGCTCCACCCCATTCACCTCTATTTTCTTTTTCTTCTTTATCCTCAAATCAACTTCTCCATTCAAATGAAAAAAAAGAAAAAAAACCCTTGTTGAAATCACACAAAAAAAACTATCAAAGGAGGAACTTCTCTCTTGTCATCTCCATGGTTCTTCAAAAAAAAACCCAACTCCTCACAAACTCTCTTAGATCATCCTATCTCTTCAAAAAAAGAAAAAAAATGATTATTGTTTCTCTCCAATTCACCATATCAAAATCTCAGACCCAAATTTTTTTTCCATCTCCAATTCTTAGCCTACTTTCTCTCTAAAATCACTCATTCTAATCATCAACCTCCCTTCTCTTTCTCTTCTGTTGAACCAATAAAAATCCAAAGTAAATCAGCATAAAAGCAAAGCCAATAGGGGAAGTAGTGAAAGAGGAAATAAGACCTCTACAACTCACCCCTTCAAAAAGGAAATAGGGCATTGCCCGGATCCAAGAAAAAGACAAAAAATGTAAAGGATCTTCAGTCAAACAGGCACCTCGAGTAGCCTTCTCTATTCTTCTTCTACGTTAGGAGATACAAGCGCACGCCAACCTTCTCTCTTCTCCAACGACGTCAGCAGCCACTGGCGCACGTCAAACTTCTCTCTTCTCCAAGTTTCTTGTTTCCAGCTAGTGTCCAAGCTTCCTCTTGCTTCAGCTAGAATTCAACTTGAGAGGGGATGTTAGACAATAATACTAATAGTACTTCTTGTAGTATTGGTTATGATAGTGTTTCATTATTAGTAAGTTTCCTATTCCTATTTATGTTAGATGTTGTATTTTAGTTAGTTTCTATTCTCTACTCCTAGTTGTGTTAGGAGTCTCTCCTATATATACTCTACCATGTATTTCATAATTCAAGAGAGCAATATTATTATTCCAATATTTCAACATGGTATCAGAGACACCGCTTTAGGTGACCTAAAACTCTCTGCGCTCGCTTCTGGCGGGCGGCGCCGCCATTAGCCGCCCGCCGGACCGATGTTATTCTTTCTTCAATTTTAAAGATTGGCAACTCCTCAAAAACTTTCTCAACCCATCCCTTTTTTTTCCCTCTCAAATCACTCATTCTAATCATCAATCTTTCTTCTCTTTCTCTTTTGTTACCCAAAAAATTCTAAAAAAAAACAACACAAAAGCAAAGCCAAGAGGGGAAGTAGTGAAAGAGGAAAGAATACCTCGACACCCCTTCAAGAAAGAAATAGGGCATTGCCCGGATCCAAGAAAAAAGACAAATAATGTCAAGGATCTTCAGTCAAACAGGCATCTCCAGTAGCCTTATCTATTCTTCTTCGACGTTAGCAGCTACAAGCGCACGTCAACCTTCTCTCTTCTTCTTCGACGTCAGCAGCTACCAGCCCATGTCAATCTTCTTTCTTCTTCATCGACATCACCAGCTACCAGTGCACGTCATACTTCTCTCTTCTCCAACGACGTCAGCAGCCACCGGCGCACGTCAGACTTGTCTCTTCTCCAACGACGTGAGCAGCCACCTGTGTACGTCAGACTTCTCTCTTCTCAAAGTTTCCAGTTTCCAGCTAGTGTCCAAGCTTCCTTTTGCTTCAGCCAGAGTTCAGCTTGAGGGGGGATGTTAGACAATAATACTAATATTACTTCTAGTAGTATTGGTTATGGTAGTGTTTCATTATTAGTTAGCTTCCTAATCCTATTTGTAGTAGATGTTGTATTTTAGTTAGTCTCCATTCTCTATTCCTAATTGTGTTAGGAGTCTCTTCTATATATACTCTATCATGTATTTCATAATTCAAGGAAAGCAATATTATTATTCCAATATTTCAACAATAACGCGCGTAGAAATGCTACAAGATCGGTATAAGAACAAACATGAAGAATCTTCATAGATTGAGTGAATCGCGTAATCACTTTCAGATTAAAGTTATTTTGTGGTACACTAAAGTACTTTAATTAGATAAGACATTAGTATCCAGAACGAGTGTGGAATTCTTCATTGTCTCAAACATAAGCGAAGCCATCTATTTATAGGCCAATTCTGACCGGACGTGTCTGTTGACGAAACAACACAACTATACGCATAACATTCAAATGTTTGGACACAACATTCAAATGTTTGGACACAACATTCAAATGTATGCAGTGTTTATATAAAACTTATCGTTTCAGCAGTTTTCTACTTAAACCATCACGTCTTACCGCGAAACATTCGAATGTTCAATATTAACATTCGAATGTGTTGGGTTTTTTTAGTAAGAAACACTGGAGATTATTATTACATTTGAATGTATGATTTTATACATTCGAATGTTTCCTTATTTTGACACTGTTTACGAAAATCCAAAGGATTTTTCGTACAGCAACAATGTCAAAAATAAAATATTCCTTACCCCCAGCCAAGAGCTCTACCCCTTGGATCTTGCCTGGACTGCCATCCCTTGGATCATGCTAGGGTGCTACGAAATTTATAATATGATTGAACAAACATGTACTCCGCACCACCTAACTCGTTATAATGTCTATTAAAATTATCGTCCGATCTAAGTAAATTCAATTACACAAATAGCCAATAATACTAAAATCAAATCACGAACAACTAAGGTATCATTAGAAACAAGCTCTCTTTTTTTCACGAGTTCTTGGTTAGGGGTAAAATACTTTCCTTCAAGAATATTTTCTTTGAAGAATATTTTCTAAAGGAAAATGGAAATTCATTTTCCAATCAATTTTTCCGTTGTTTGGTAGAAAGGAAATTATATTCTTAAAAAATCATTTGTTTTATTAATATTTAAAAACTAAAATTATAAACTTATCAATTTTTGATTTTAAATTCTATAATTTAGGAAAAAATAAATTCAACAATTCAAATTTTGTGAGTCAAATTGAATTCGAGTTAATCCTTTTCCGGTCATAACAATGAAACATGTCTAATTGACTTTGGGTCTTAACGATTTAAAGTATAAACTTTTTAATTAAAAATTAACAATTTAAAATTTTAAAATTTATCCTTACAAAATTATTTTTTTTGTTAAATCATTCTTACAAAATGTTTTATTTTTAAAATGATCCTCATATTTAATATAAGTTTCTAATTTATTGAAATAACATATTTATTTCATACTCAACGTCTTAATATTATATTTTTAATAGTGGGGTTCTAGTGACACCCACTTTAGTCTCACTAGTAGTGCCACTGTCATTTTGGAGCACTTCCGGTGCTCCGTTCGTAAAACTGATGATTCCTATCCCGCCTAACCCACCCTCTAAACCCCCCACCCTACCCCCACCCCAACACGCCGTAAACCCCCCACAAAATGTGTGGCTATTATGTAATGCATAATAGCCACACATTTTGTGGGGGGCTTACGGCGTGTTGGGGTGAGGGTAGGGTGGGAGGTTACAGGGTGGGTTAGGGGGTAGAAACAATCAATTTTACAAACGGAGCACCGGAAGTATCTTAAAATGACAGTGACACCGAAGTATCACCGTACTCTGGTGTCATTGCGTCACTAGATACCAGCCATATTTTTATTTACATCAGACATAATTATGATGGGTCATGCTACATGCTACACTTACACCAAAAATTATATCCCATTTGTACACCGCAATTATACACAAACATTTTGATGGTTTACACCGACACAAGTATTGGTGCGTTAACAAAAATTTACACGGACACAAATTGTTGGTGCGTTAATAAAAATTATTTTTACACAAACACAAAATGTCGGTGCAAACTTGCATCGTACAAAATGAGGCACAAAAGTTTGGGGTAGAAATAGCTTTATACAATTATGATACCTTCTTTACTAAGGATAAGGTCTTTTTAGATAGATGGGCTAATCCATAGAGAAATAACGTGGAACCACATGAATGGGTTTCATATCCCCAGAAGCACACTCCCTTTGCCAAGTGTCTCCATGGAATCCCCGCAAAGGAACATTGAAACCCCACCGCCCCTTGAATCAATGTATGCATTCCAAAACCATCTGAAAAATCATGATCCAAATTTTGTGAGCTTGAACGGAAAGAAAGGCCAATGGCTTCCTTAGCAACCGTTTCTGCCATCAATTCTACCGCCGTCAATGGCCTCGCCGGAAGCTCCATTACCGGAACCAAGCTCCTCGTTAAACGATCGCGCCTCAATCTCAAACCCTCCAAATCCAGGCAACAATCTTTGACTCCAATTTAAACCTTATTTGGTGAATTTTGAATTGGTTGGGGCTATAAAAGAGGAGACGAAGAAAACAAATTAGGTTTTTATTTATGATAATTGAGCGGATTGTGTATATAGGGCTGGTGCTGTTGTGGCTAAGTATGGAGACAAGAATGTGTACTTTGACTTGAAGGATTTGGGCAACACCACTGGCAAATGGGACTTGTATGGATCGGATTCACCTTCACCATACAATCCTCTTCAGGTATTTCTATATTTGCCTTCCTCAGTGTGTTTTTTTAACTATTGGTTTTGATAGTAGCATAGGGGGGAAATGCCCAATGCTTTTTTCATGGCTTAATATAGTTGTTGGACTGTTTTCTTCAACCTAAAGCCTTAGAATTACTCCCTCTTTTTTGGACCTTATTTAGAATAAAAAAAGAATTACTTGATTGGAAATTAGGGGTCACTTGCTTTGATAAACTTGATCTGTGATCATAGTTAGGTAAAACTTGGCAGGATTTCAATTACTTCAGCCAAATAACTCTTACCAAATGGGCTCTTGAAGCTACAAACTAAGTAGTATATTGTTTTCGAGTTGAACTAGAATATTGTGTTGTGGGATCCAGTGGCTGTATCCTATTGTGAAGTCAAAGGAAAAAAAAGAAACTCTTTTGCTCAATGTCATGGTGTGGGGAGTGGTTACTTTCTTGAAAGTTTATAGCACCCTGAGTTAACAATTTGTTGGATTGAAAAAATTGCAGAGCAAATTTTTCGAAACATTTGCAGCTCCTTTTACCAAGAGAGGTCTGTTGCTGAAATTCTTGATTCTAGGAGGTGTTTCCACCCTGGCTTATCTTGGTGCTAATGCAGATGGTAATATTCTTCCAATTCAGAAGGGTCCCCAACTTCCTCCCAAGGTCGGACCCCGTGGGAAGATCTAACTATATATTTGGTTGTTATATTTGATGTATCGCTCTGCAGCTTGTAAGTATAACTGAAGCATATTTAAGATCTCTATTTTAAGAACTATTCCGTTTGAAATTTCAAAAATGGATTTCTTACTTGTTTTCGTTTAACTAATGTTTTCATGCACTCATTCAGTTGGTTGGGATTTAATGCTTGTGTGTGCTGGTGCATGAGATTTTTTTACTCCTCACACCATGCATCCTACGGGTCACTGTTTGTCAGAGTAATCTTAGAACTAACCTCTTTATTACATTGGAGTAGACTAGTAGAGGTAAGGTTTACTCATATCTTGCCCCCAACCCTATCTTGATTGGATATGCTGGGATTGTTTGGGATTTAATGCTCCCTATCACGTTCGATATAAACTTGCATACAGTCAGAATAGAGGTGGACATGAGTTGGGCTTGGGCAGTTCAGACCGGTTTTACACCTATAATTACTAAAAAACTTGTATGTCCACGCTCGGATCGGCCTGGTAAACAGGCCTCCTGTTTTGTCTAAGCACGACCACGAAAACAAGTTGTTACCACGGCCGGCCAGAGCCCACCTAAAATATAGTAATGTAGACATGAAATTATGTTTTTTCAAATTCATATATATATATATATATATATATATATTTATATATAGATATGTATATATATGTATGTATGTATGTATGGAAGTGCTAAAAAAATTGAATTAAAAAAAGAAAAATTTATAAGCTAATGTAAAAAAGTGTAATGAAAAAAGTAGTACTTGCGTAGTATTCGACTAAAATAATTGATAAACCTTGTAATATACTTATTTCACATGCATGTATAATATTGTACTACATATATCATTGAAGTCAATAGATTTGGGCCGGGTTCGGGCTTGGAAGGGTTGTGCAAAGTCCGGATCATTTATTAACAGATTTTTCTTTTCGTCCACGGCTGGATCGATAATTCGATATTCAGGCCTTAATTTTTTATCCAAGCCCGCTTAAAAAATGATCGGGCCTTTGGTCCTGGGCTGGTAGCCCGACCTATGTCCACCTCTAATTCAAAGCAATGCTTCCTCTATGGAATACTAATAATGTTGTATGACTTGAGTTCTTTTGGGAGTAACTGAGTAACCCAGGTGGTAGGAGTAATCTGAGATCATACACAAGTATATTTAGTTGATGAGAGACATGTTCTTTAACATACTGTAATATGTATGGTTTTCTCAGTCAGATTATGTGGAGCTAGTATTCATCTCAATATTTACATCTCAGATCAAGCGTTAACAGTCTTGATGAACACGAGAACTCTTGTTAATCCACACAAAAATACTTAGTGGCGTGCTGTTGGACTTCTGGTACCAGCTATGCTCTCCAGGTAGGAAGTTCTCTTGATGGGTAATATGCTAGATTGTTTACTTAGGAGCTTTGTGTCCTTGAATTTCATGAAGCCACCCTTATTTTCATTAACCACTCCTTGATCCAATGGTGCCCAACCCATGAATTCCCACAATGCCATTGATGTAGGCACCTGTTCTTTAGCATACACACCTTCTTTTAGAGCATCATGCTTCTTTGTTTCTTTGACACAATTACTTTGTGCGGCACTATCTGCTTGTATAACATCTTCTATTCTTGACAATACTGTGTAAGCCAAGCTCTCAATTATTCTTGAATAGCTTTCCAGCACTGCGTGCCCAACATCCTAGAACATCATCATATTTAGCATATTGACATAGTACTAAGACATGAATTTCCATTCTAAAAAAGTCAACCTTATAAGAAGAGTAGGCCAATGTCCTATAGGAACAAAACAGCCATTTGGGCTTAGTTTGATCCAAAAGGTTAACCTTATGGCTACACACTTGGAGATTGCCTTACAAGTTAATATTAAGAAAAGAACATTTTAGTCTAGTGGTATAGAAGTCTTACTCTGTTACATTGGATTTTGCTGATGTCTAGTGAAGATTGAGGTATTCCCGGGTAGCGGTGCTTGAGAATGAGCAATATTGTCTCTGCTCTTTCTTCAATCAACTCTCTCTTTTCCATACTTACAGCTGAGCTCCACGTTGATTTCTCTGTTTTGGAGTTCATCTTCCGTCTCCATATCACCACTGAGGCTTCGATCTTGTTTTTCAGCTCTAGGATTTTATGCTCCGAAGTCAATCCCATTGTTGTCAGGAAATAATCTGGATCAAAATATTCATCCGTGATGCTCTTGTATATCGAGTCCCCAAGGGTTGCTCTCCCATTCTAGCATCCAAATCACAAAGTTTTCGTAAGCTTTTTTCGAAAGTCATGATTTAGGAAATGAGCAAATGCTTTTGGAGTTCTTTAATCCTTATTGCTAAAGACCTGTTTAGCAATGGATTATTGGAGTTATATCTGGTGAATTTTTCTTGGATGAAAGAAAAATCAATTCGTAACATTCATTTCAGATTTTCAGCCAAATAAGTAAGTGAAGAATTACTTACCTTTGGTAGAGAATCTATATAACTCTCTGGGATCTCCATTTCTGCAAGAACTTGAGCATTTATGGTCATCGCAGCTTTGAGAATCTGGTTTACAGATTCCTTTTGAGACTGTAACCATTTCCTTTCAAAATCGGACAGACCATTTGGAGGGACCTTAGGAGTTGGGAGCCACCATTTATCATCTTTCCTGCTATTCTTGCCTTTCTGTTCACCAACATCCTCATCTGTTGATGCATCAGTGTAGTAGAACTGATTTTGATCCTTGAAGGTATCCAAACAATCCTGTTGGTTCCCCATGTTTGTATCAGTAATTCATTATACACATAAGATCTTTTAAAAAAACTACTGACTAGTGCAGCAATGTACTGTATCATACAATGAGCATCGCGTCTAGCTTGCGGAGCGCTGGAATGTTCATTTGGAGATCCGTTCTCTGCCGAGTCACCATTATCTGTCAAAAAGGATGTTTTTTTCATGTTAGCTATGCAATTAGAGTTTAGTTTATGCTATAATTTGTATAATAGTATATGATTAGTGATCAATAATACCTCCATGTTTGTTCCGTCTTTTGCTGTTTGATTGGAAGGAACAAATTCAACAATGTGATCTGTAACAGATAAAAGCCAATTGATTTCTTTTCTCCACCTTGCTTTCCTCTCTGCTGCCATTGGTTCCAGTTTCTTTATTTCTCCAAACACAGAAGCTGCAAATTATGTTTATTTCACACAAAAAATGTCAATCCTCTTTATGAGATTGCCTTTTTTTACATTCATCTGAAAACCCTAAGCCCGATATGATGCACGAAGCGTATGTATACACATAATTTAAATATACCTGCTGTATTTGTGATTGCATTTGACAGAGCCAAAGCGGATGAAACGCCCTTTCCACTGCCTGACATATCCTCACCAAGAAGCAGCTTTGCGAACCTCTCCTTCATCAGCTCCATGTCTGAGTCAAGAATCAAACGACACCAGAGGCTTAGATTCCAAATCAATCAAGATACATGCACCCCTAAAGAAAGCAGAAAAGAATCAAGAATTGGGAATGCTTTTTACCTGATGATTGCTCATCTTTGGCATTGCCAATGGCTCGGACCATCTTCTCTGGGATTCAAGGCGCGCGGGTTTCAGAAAAGCAACAGGCCAAAAAGAAGGAAGATTAGGGAGGGGAATTTGAGAAGAGAAAAGAAAAGGAAAGCAGGAGGAATAATTATGGATTTGGGGACAGCGGAATTAATGTTTTATTAAGGTCCAATGGCTGAGAGAACGCGGGGTACATTTTTCTTTTTTAAATGAAATAATCCCAAAGACATCAATGCACTAAAAAAGTTGATGTTAGCGTTGACATGTTTATCTTGCTTGTTTATGACATGAAAATATTGAAAGTTGAACAAAAATTTTATTAATCACCGAACTTAAAAATGAATCATTAAAAATGCGTCAAGAACAATCGAACCCGACTTGATCGACTTGCTAAAGTAATACTCCCTCAATCGTTAAATCATCTTCTCAGTTACAGAGTAATATTTACATGCTCAAATTTTATTCACTTTCTTTAGTTATTTTTATTAGTCATTTGATAAAATAATATAGTCATGTCATCTCTAGTTTTGTAGAATTTTGATATATTTTTTAAACATGTAAATTTTAATTTTGAATTTTACACCCATTGATAGTGTAAATTAACCACCGGGCAAATTGTACTAGAATGCATCTGGAATAGTTTGCTAAGTCTAGAGAGTAAAGAAGTGTACAAAGCAAGATTGACCGGCAGGACTATAACTGGAAGCATCTATAGTCGAATTGTTTTTAAGTATGCAAGAAAGTCTCGGGAGTTATTACAATACGAACTCTAGAGAGATGAAATTCGGATCCTTTCATTTGAGGGTTACACAAGTATTATAAGGAAAGGGTGGGGACAGAGCGTCGCGTGTCCACATCGACCCACGTTCTCAGGTGGCACGAGGTAGCTTCCCTTTTGTCTCGTAGCATTTTGTCACATCCCCTTATCATCTTGTGTTGATGACTCCTCCTTTGGCATGTCGCGCCCAACTGAGATTGAGGGAGTACTTCCTCAATCTTTCGTTGAAATCGGTCACTACCGTCCAACCGATTTTGGAGTTATTCGTGCCGACACTTTACACCGTAGTAACCTACCCGGTAGGTTTATCTCCCGCGTCCAAAGACTATACCGATATACTTTTTCAAACTCGACCAGTACTTTATTTTAGTAGAAATTTCCCATCCTGATATGTTTGTAACTTGACCAGTTACTTTCTATGAACCTGGTTTCTGACCGGGTTCTGGGTGGAATACACCCATCAATGATCCATCCACTTCCCTGCGTTGTAATTTTATCAAGGGCGGGAAGTGAAAATTTGGAATCTGGCGCTTGAAATTTGAATTTAAACTTTCCCCGCCTAAAATTTTTGAATTTCAAGCTCTTCCCGCTCTAATTTTCAAATTTTGAAATTGAAAATTTAAATTTTTCAACGTGTCGCACCCTTTTCATACACCATCATTGCATTTCATCCGTCGTTTCACCTTCCCAGGCGCCACACGTGCGCCGGCTGACGCGTCGCTTCCTATGCTTGCCACGCGTCGCGCTATCCTTCTCTGCCTCGCCTTTATAAAGGCTTCTCCCTCCTTCTTCATTTCACTTTTCGTAAATCCTCTCTTACATTTCACCCGGTCAAGTGTTTATTTAGCCCTCCGAGTCTTCTAACTTTCAAGTAAGTTCCCGGTTCTTATTTGTTTTTCTTTTACCAGTTATGTGTTCCGAGGATAGCCAAAATATTTCTGCTACCTCTTTTGCGTCTGCATCCGGGGATTCTTTCTCGTCCACTTCGTATTTTTCTTCTTCATTATATTCTTCATCTCCTCCCCGGGAGGAACTGGTTCCTGAAGGTGTTCTGGTTCCGAATCCTGCTCTTATCAACCAGGAATCGAGTCCCTTTAACCCAGACAAAGAGATCCGGGAGGAGTGGGGAAACCGCCTCTAGGAGACAGGTTATTTTCCCCTCCCTATCGATAATGTTATGGAATACCCACGGTTGTGTCGAAGGTCACCCAGAATAAGGCACGTCGGTTGCTTCCTGAGGGTTATACTCTCTACTATAACCCTAACTTGCCTAACATTGTCGAACCCCACCAGGGATGTAGGGTTGCGTTCCACATCAAGTCCTTAGAGGGTGGTATAATTTTTCCTCTTTGCCCCCTCCTAGTTGGGGTCTGTCACGCTTTTTCCATCCTTCCCAGGCAGATTACCCCAAACGCCCATCGAATTTTGAACTATTTTGTTAATATCTGTGAATTCCTTCGAATTAACCCATATCTTCCTCTTTTTGTCTTCATGTTCAAAATCCTACCCGGTATGGGTGATTGTGAGGGTTTTGTTTTCTTCAAGTCTCGAAAAAATAGGGCATTCATTTTTGACCTCCCCCAAAGCAACTGGGGGTGGAAAAATCATTTTGTCTTCATCAATTTCCCGGAAGTCGATTTTCCGCTGGCCGGTTTGCGGTAGGAAGGATCACCTTTTAAACCATGAATACGCATTACCGGCTAGCACCCCGCGGTTGGAGAGGGACTCCGAAACACTCCTGCAGGGCGATGCTCAAACTGGGGCGAACTTTTTCTTCGGGAGTTAGGTGTGAAGAGTCAACCCAGGTGGTGAGGGTACCTTGGGAGCCAAAGAAGCAGAGGGGCACGGGGTATCCTCCACGGGAAACATTACAAAGCCCGGGTGCCGTCATCACTCAAGTTTGATTTTATTCTTTTAATCCATCTTGCTTCCGTACCAGTCTCTTTCTTAGTACTTAACGAATTTTTACTTGAACTTGCAGACATGGAGTTCGACTCTAACAAAATTCCGAAGAGGACCGGTGCCTCCAGCCTAAGCAGCTCCCAGGCAACTCCTGCCAAAAACTTCAAGGTTCAGCAAGAGACCATGGAGATTTTGAGCGAGGAGGAGACCAAGCTGACTAGGGCAGCGGCGAAGAATCCCTCACTCGACAAGTGGAAGAAAACCTGGGTGAAGAAGGTGGTGACTACCCATCCTCCTGCCAAGAGAAAGAGGGGGGAAAGCCAACCGGGCGTTCAATCGTTGGAGGAGCTCTAGGTTCTCCTCGGCCTCAGGATGAAAGAAGTAAGTATTTCTCCCAACCCGATATGTATACCTTATGCGTTTTACCTTTATCCAACCATGCTAACAATTTTCCTTATCTTTTTTGCTAGCTTGGTGAGGTTGGGCCGGATGCTGCTGACTGGTTCTCGGAAGGTTCCCCCTCCAGGGCGCCCGGCTGGAGGAGAAGGTGAAGGAAGGGGAGAAAAGAGCCCGGGACTTGAGCACCGTCATCATGCGCCAAACTCATGAATTGGCAAAGCTTACAAAGGCTGTCAGGTCTCTGGGGGCCGATAACCATCAGCTAAAGGAAGAGAATACTCGGCTGATGGACGAGGTCTCCCATCTAAAGCTTGAGTTGAAGGAGGCTCTAGAGGAGAAGGAGCGGGAGCTGCTCGGTAGGGCCCGAGTGTGGATAGAAGAGAATAAGGCTCAAGCTGCTCGGGTCCAGACGTCAACCCCGAAAGCTACAATGGAGTCCTTCAAGTTGTTTCCTGGGATCCGAACAGGAAGAAGATTGTAACGCCCTGAAACCTGGTCTAGTAGAATTGGTTAATTTAATTCATTAATTCCTATCTCGGACCGGGGTTGGGAAAAATAAAGTCTTAAGAAAAATTATTTGATCACACAATAATATTCGTCTTGAATGTCTGATTTTAGAAATGCAAGCGAATCTTGATTGGGATCAGTTCAGGGGAAAAATGCATACTGTTCAGGTCGGAGTCTACACAACAGAGTGAGATTTAGGGAGGTAACTCCCCAATTTAATCCACACGCCACCCACACCCATTTACTTCCCTTTCAAAACCCGGGGGTTGGTCAACGTACACTTCCTCTTGAATAAAACCATTGAGGAAGGCACGCTTAACGTCCATTTGGTAAAGTTTAAAATCCATAAACGAAGCAAAGGCAAGAAGTAAACAAATAGCTTCTAAACGTGCTACGGGTGCATAATTTCTTCAAAATCAATACCTTCTTCTTGATTGTAGCCTTTAGCTACGAGCCTAGCTCTGTTTCTAGTGATTATTCTATTTTCTTCAAGTTTATTACAAAACACCCATTTCGTACCAAAAATTGTACGATCATCGGGCCTTGGCACCAATTCCCAAACACCATTTCGTTTGAATTTTTTTAGCTCTTCTTGCATAGCCATGGTCCAATGTTCGTCATTTATTGCTTCAGAAAGAGTTGTTGGTTCAATTTGTGAAACAAAAGCCATGTGTCCTACGGTTTCTCTAAAAGAGTTTCGAGTACTTACCCCTTGGTTGGTGGCGCCTATTACCTGGTCAAGAGGATGATCTTTTGTTGTTCTCCATACTGTTGGAAGCTCAGTTTCTTCTTCCTCTTGTTCCTCTTCGTTTGAGTGCTCCTCTTCGTGTTCTTCTTGCGACACTTCTTTCGTTGGTGGCTGTGGGGTGCTTTGTGTGCTTGCTTCCTTTTCTTCTTCATCATCTCCAATGTAGATTCTCTTAAGTAAATTTGCAAGGTCAGCACAAATTTCCTTCCTCGCCAAGCGAGTATTATTTTCGGAAAAAACAACGTGAGGGGATTCCTCAACGTTCAAAGTACATTTATTAAACACTCTATAGGCCTTGCTACTTAACGAATAACCAAGAAAAATTCCTACGTCCGACTTAGCATCAAATTTTCCCGAGTTATCTTTTCCATTGTTATGAACAAAACATTTGCAACCAAAAACTCGAAGATGGGAAAGATTTGGCTTTCTCCCTTTGTATAATTCATAGGGCGTTTTCTTGAGTATCGGTCTAATGACGGATCAATTTAAAATGTTGCTCGCGGTACTCACGGCATCCGCTCGAGAATACTTAGGGATTTTTGCCTCATTGATCATAGTTCTTGCCATCTCTTCGAGACATCTATTTTTACGTTCCACCACTCCATTTTGTTGTGGTGTACGTGGGGCGGAGAAACTATGATCAATGCCTAGTTCGTCACAAAAATTAGAAAATAGTTTGCGTTCGAACTCTCCCCCATGATCGCTCCTTATGGCTACTATGGTTAAATCCTTTTCATTTTGTACCTTTTTAAAAAAAGTTTTAAAAACATGTAATGCCTCACTTTTGTGAGTTAGAAACAATGTCAATGTGAACCTAGAGTAGTCATCAACAATTACAAAGGCAAAGTAATTGCCACCAAAACTTTTAGTTCTAGAAGGACCAAAGAGATCCATGTGCAAAAGTTGAAGCGGCCTAGATGTCGAAACAGCGTTCTTGGATTTAAACGAGGCCCTTACTTGCTTCCCTTTTTGACGTGCATCACATAAGGCGTCTTTTTCAAACTTAAGTTTAGGAATGCCAATTACTAAGTCTTGTGAGACCAATTTATTCAAAGGTCCATGTTCATATGAGCTACCCTACATTGCCATAGCCATGTGTCTCCCTCTTTACTAATGAGGCACTTGGCAAAGTTGGACGGGAATTTTTCTAAGTTAACCATATAAATATTGTCAATTCTGTCGCCACGTAGAATTATCTTATTTTAACTAAGGCGTTCTACGGTGCATGTTTTAGAATCGAAGGTCACACGGTTTCCCTTGTCACACAATTGACTTATGCTCAAGAGATTGTGTTTAAGACATTTAACTAGCAAGACATTATCTATAGAGGTGTCATCGGACTTACCTACAGAGTCGATGCCGATTATTTTTCCTTTAATGTTGTCACCAAAGACAACGTTGCCTCCTTTAGCGGGATTTATTTGTCGAAACTTCGATGAATCACCCGTCATGTGCTTTGAGCATCCACTATATATCAAGGTACCAATGTACACTTGATGCTTTCAAGCACACCTACAAGAATGGTTTAATAAGATTTAGGTACCCAAGTCTTTTTGGGTCCTTGAGTGTTAGGTGCAAAGTGGTAGTGTGTTTCGTTTTGAGTCCAATGCCTATGTCTAGTAAAGCAAACGGGAACTATATGTCTTACCCTATTGCAATAATGGAAAACTACATTAGGGTTGTGCATTCTCCTAGGTTAATAATAAGTACTACGGGGCCTAACCATGTTCATCCTATTTTGAGAAAAAGCTAATTTTTGAGTATTTTGAAAATTCTCTCTTCTAGGTGTCCTAACATTATTTTGTCTGTTTGAAAAATTGTTTTTGTCCATAAAATCATTTTGATAATTCCTCCTAGGTTGCCTAGAATGCTCATGTTCATAACTAACCTTTTGTCTAGGTTGTCTATGTTCTCTACTGTTCCTAGACTCTACAGGTTTTCTGTCATTTCTAGGTTCTCTATTATTTTTATTTTTATATTTCTTAGGTTGAGCTCTAGGTGGTTTACGTTTGTGCTCAACTTTTTCTTTATTTTCAGATTCATTAATTTTACCAAAACCTATTCCTTCTTTAGTGTATTGCAGAATCAAAAACAAGATTAAGGTCCTTATGTGGTTTATTAAATTTATTTGCCGTGTTTTTTAGTTTAGCAATTTGTTCTTTCAAAGCAATGCAAGAGCCACAATTATTCGTAGAGCTCTCGGGTTTGTCGGTGCTTCTTTTACCAGAAAATTTATTTTCCTCTTTTAGTTTTTCGTTTTCCTTTTGAAGTTTTTTTAAGTTTAGTTTCAAGATTACAAAAACGTTTCTTTACTTTGTTGGCTTTAGAAGCACTAACAAACTCGTCATAAAGCTCTTGAAGAGCTTCTTGGATTTCTTCAAAAGAATAACAATCAGTAGAAAAAATACATACCTCTTGGTTTTTATCGTTGGATGGCTCCTCTTCTTCTTGAGCCATGAGACAAAAGTTTGCTTCTTCATCTTTCTCTTGCTCACTTGACTCGTTGCTGGAGTCTCCTCCCCAAGAGATGTATGCTCGTTTCTTCTTGAGCCCAAGTTCGTCCTTGGCATTTTTGGCTTTTGGACATCTTGGTTTGATGTGACCGATCTCGCCACATCCATATCACTTTGGGGGACCATCGTGCTTCTTTTCTTTGCGCTCGTGCTGTTTCTTCATAAATTTGTTGAATTTCTTGATGATGAGGCCAAACTTGTTGTTTTCATCACTTGATTCCTCTTCAACCGTTTCCTTGGTTGCTTTGAGCGCTATCCCCTTCTTCTTTTGTTCATCCAAAGACGGGGTTAGAATAGTAGATTCATAAGTTTTAAGATTCAACTTAATCCGTCGATGGTGACGTTGGAGACTTCAATGGATTCATAGATGGCGTCGGCCTTTGATCTCCATTCGGGAGTGAGGCTCCGCAGGCTTTTCCTCACGAGGTCCTTGTTGGCGTACGTCTTCTTGAGGGCATGAAGATCATTGATGATGTTCGAGAAGCGATCGAACATGTCGTCGATCTTCTCGCCTTCTTTCATCCTGAACATCTCGTACTCCTGCGTGAGGAAGTTAATTTTGGCTTCTCGAACTTGGTCCGTACCTTCGTATGTTACCTCAAGTTTGTCCCACATAGCGGTTGTGCAGCAGGAGATCTTACGATAATCGTCGGGGTTGACCGCACAGTAAAGCATGTTAATAGCCTTTGCGTAGTTCTCTACTCTCTTGATGTCTTCGGCATCAAATTCATCCTCGGTCTTTGGGACAAGTGTCTCCCCAACCTTTTTCATTGGCGTCTCTTCGCCATTCTTGATGACCAACCACAATTGGAAGTTGGTTGAGCGGATAAAGATTCTCATCCGCTCTTTCCAATACTTGTAGTTAGTCCCATCGAAGAGCGGTCGCCTAGAAGTTTATTGACCTTCTCCAATCCCTGCATAAAGATTTCTAGAAGAAGAACCCATGATCGCTTTTCTCTCAAACGGTTAAGTTTGGACGCGAGTTAGGCTATGATACTAATTGTTAGAATAAGTGATCAACACTAAAATGGGATGAATAGCGTTTGATCACATAAATCGCAGGAATAAAAAACTTAAAGGAAAAGTAAAGAGAAGAGTAAGAGGCACACCGATTTTACCCTGGTTCACCACAACGTGTGGCTAAGTCCAGCCTCCCGAGAGACTCTCTCGAGTTACACTAATCCTCGTTAAGCTTAACGGTGCTTAACAAGCCCTTACAACTTGAGAATTCGAGTTACACGAACCTCAACAAGTCATTTGAAGGAAACAGCCCTTTCTTCGAATCAAATGAGAGAAATACTTTCGCTCAACATGTCTTAGAACACTAATACACTCAAGAACAAGACTCTCTTTAAGAGTAGATGTTGAGTAAAATATATACGCTCAAGAACAATTCAAACATCACACAATTTGGCTCTACCCATCGCTGGTAAGCCATTTTTCCCTCAGTTTTAAAGACAACGGTCACCTACCCATCGATGGGAAAGCACTTCCCATCGCTGGGTGGGAGGTTGACTTTCAAATAAGGAAAGAATCAGGCTTAAATGCCTTACAACGGTCATGCCTAACCATCGATGGGTTTACCATCCCATCGCTGGGTACCCAGCGATGTGTCCAAGTCCCTATCGCTAGGTGAGGGCATTCTGCCTTGTGTTCATGTTGAACCAAGGCCTTTACAGCGATGGATGGAACTCCCCATCGCTGTGTGGCATGGTTCTGGAATCGAGCTGAGCTAAAGGACCACTTAACCATCGATGGGTAATATCTCCCATCGCTGGGTTGATGGCTAGTCCAAAAACCTAAGGTTTTTGCCTGAACCATGGCCTAGCCAACCAATAAAATGTGAAGTTCTCTAAAATAAAAACCAAGTGTGATGGCTATAAACCACCGAGAGTATGAAATAATATAAGTTTTAGAGAGAGAGAGAATGCAAAGTAGGAGTATATTGATTTCAAAAATCGGGTCCATTACAATGAGGGGTGACACCCCTTTTATAGGGGGTAAAATAAGCTAAGTCAAAGCTCTCTAATCGATGCCCGTCGTCTAGCGGACGTCACCTGTCCTTACGTCTTGTCCCTTTCATCCTATCGCTTTCACCAAGTCTTCGTTGAACGTCGCTTTCCGCACGTCGTTGTCGCGGGGTTCGGGCTCGGCTTGGATGGCCGAGCCGAG